AAAAAAAATTAGTCATGCAAATATTATTTTCTTTGTACAGGAAGGCCGAGGATAAATTGTATTGAATAAAATTATATACGATTTAAACTTTCCAACGCACACCACCGATTCTTTCGTTTCTGGACTAAGTCCACGCATTGTCTTTTATCTCCGAAAGGTCGCTAGGGAAAGGTTAAAACGAAGCACCTGGACAATATTCACTGTTTCCTCGCTAACATTTCTTGTTCACAAAGTAACCAGGGTTTCAGTCTCAAGTTAAACTCCAACTCTTTCTCATACAGTGTACGAAGTTGAACAAAATTCGGTCGTTTAACGAACGTTAAAGAAAATTTTGTGGCATTTCCCACCACAGTACAAATCTAAAGTTCTCTGCGGGCTATTGGTTGTTTCACATTTCACTTTTAATTCGCGCGGAAGTTTTGGACTGTTCACCAATAGATCGTCAGTCAACACTGCAATGTGTTTAGACAACAACAAAATTCATGCCGTACATGAACGAATAAACAGGTCATGAAAACTACCAGAGCGAACCTCCTTCATTCCATGATAGGAAACAAACAGAAACCTGTCAAATCTGCCACCTCCTCTAAATGCGGAAACCTTGAGTAAGGGATTTTACTACCTAAAGTGCGATGTAAAATATATTGAATGGCTATAAAACGTCCTAGTAATCTTTCACTTGCCGCACTACGGTGGATTTTTTTTATGAGGAGAGTTTTAAATACTACGACCAGTGTGTGTCTTAAAATATCAGGATATTTGGTCACATTCAACTTTAAATCAAACCGCAATCCAAAGAGTAAAAAGTTCCATTTGTAAAACTTGTAAAAACTATGAATTATTTGTTATTTGGTGGTCCAGCTTGCGTCCTATAAGACGACAAATGAAAAATGAAATTGCATTCACGGAAAGGAAAATTCGCCAATGTTGTTTCCACTTTACGATTGAGTGCGAATTCTTAGTAGAACTATCGCGAAGAAGGGGAACTCAGTAAATGTGCCCTTCATGCGAGGATTATCAATCTAGGAAGATGTTAGAAAAAAAAAGCCAAACGATACATGTAAAACCAGAATAAATTAGAACTCAAGCGACAACAAATGCGCCTCTAAAAAGCTTCATTGTTATCAGTGATGATAAACGAATTCTGATAATGTTATCAGCTATCCCGCAAACCTACCAAAATGTCTTTTGTGTCAACAAAGACTTTCGTATGGATCGCGCATCGGCTAAAAACCTAGTAACATAAAACGGGAAATATTACCTTTTCAATCGGACGATAAATCTGAGATCAACTCGCTCCGGTACCTTTCTCCAAGGATTTTGCTGTGGACCTTGAGAATTCACAAACCAAAGAAGATTTTCCGGACAATTTGCAGACCTGATATGTTTCTCTTCTGTAAGGTAGATTGCCTGACGGAACAACTTTTGTTGGTAGTATCAGAGGTCAATCAGTGCTCAAGGCTCGTCACTAACTGAGTGAATCATTCAGGGAATGTTAACGCGAGATTCTCAAAGTATCTAGTTGCTTGAAGCCTGCAGTTTGTATTGCATACAGTCGACTTACGACAGTACTCGTACCTGCCTTTCGTTTCACGAAACAAAATTAAAACCAGGGTTTTTCAATCCGTCCTTTAAGGATAGTACTCTCCAAAAGCACTCAAACTAAACACTTGACCAGAATATTGGCACAACAACTGGTGTCTCTGTGAGACGGACAGAACATAATATAGAATTGTCTGGAACTTCGGTGTCTGAGCTATGTCCGAGACGAAAAACCGCGCAAGTCGAGAGATCTTAAATCCTATCAAACTGATAGTCACTGTTAAAACTCAAACAAACTGTCATTCTAATTCAACCCATTGCAGGCTTTTATTTAGTAGCTTAATCATAACATAATAACGGTCCCGAAAAACTTTCTAAAACAAATAAAGTGACTCACTTGACCTAATATTTTAATAAATATCTATGTGACCCAAAGTAAGCGTCAATAAGACGAAACATCTCGGCCGAGCTCGGTACTCAACAATGTAATTTTTGACAGGTAAGTAACCCGCAGAGACAAAAGATAGACTATATGCACAACTTTAAGGACAATAATCCTCTTCCGTTTTCCTGCGGAAAGAGCGACCCCCCAACACATAATTTGGTGTAGTAAGCCATGCATGGTCGACTTGTCACTTCCCATGATATCATCCTAAATATAACATTAAGAGTAAGAACACGTACCTCTAAGTTTTTCGTTTCTCGACTGTGTAAGCTGTGTCTTACGACATAACTGAACCATGCTGTCGTCAATAAGTGTAGCTTTGAGTAGAAATCCACTCCATTTTTTGATGGGATCTCCTCAACCGATCTATTACCAACAAACCAACCAAACCGTCATCATAAAAAGGTCGTGTCTGTCAATATTCGTTTGTCATGGATCACCGGCTCCAGTCCCTACAAGGTGACGTGACATTTATTAATAGAGTCAAGACATTTTAAAATGTTTACGTCTGTTTGTGATTATTAGAGTCAAAGTTGAGCCTTTCAAAGGGAGGAACCTCACTAATTAGCCTTTATTATGAAATATATGATTTCTCATCACGAATCGAAAACCACCGTTAAAATAGAATCAACTTGTGCAGCGTCTGCAATCACTCACGCTGAAAATGCAACTTTCGACTCCAAAATAACATTTTTTAATTTTTTTCTCTAGGCGCATATCACCCACTTACTAACCATTCACAGTCTATTTGTCAGTCGTTTGTTATTTCATACCCACTCAGACTATAGAACATCCATTTCGCAACATTGAAAATCAACAGGACCTCCTTCGTAATATTGTAACCTACGCTTATACCCGAACGAGTGGTGAATACTCAAGACAGTTGTTACAAACTGTTTATCAAACCTAGATTACATCCTTGTTATGGGGAATTAGGAGAGAAAAGTAGACAACTAAGTTCAGGTCACACATCGCTCCAGTAACATGAGGTGTATGTTTTGTGATGTTTTCATTTTGCGTTCTGTGATGGACCTTGTTAGCCTATGGAATCTAATTTAGACAGTTCTTGATCAAAAACCGCAAGAAGACAAGGATAGGCGTGTTCTTATCAGTCTTCTTTGATTGAATTATGATTCATCTTAAAACGAAATTTCTATCTTCAGGAAACAGGCCAAAACGGATAAAAAAAACAGCTACAGTTAAACAAATGTACCATTCTTCAACTAAGAAACTGTGAAAGAGACGATTTCCTGTCACAGACCATTTAATGGAATCTGACACCACTTGAGTACAAGAGACGGAAATTAAAGGAAATAACAAAGCTTTTAATCGATGGATATACGCCCCCCTGATTAAAATATCATGTGGAATTTGTCGGAATTTTTATAATTCAAGGAGTAGTTTAATCCATTTTAAGTCATTTCTATCCATTTATGTTCAATATTTGAAGCAAAGGTAATTAGATAGTCCAGCCCACTGGGTCCTAAATAAAACAAAAAAAGATCATAGTACAATGACTTGTGTTTCGCAGAGCGGTCGATGCTTTCATGAAAAATCTTGAAAGGCTGATAATTAACGACATTTTAACTCCCAAGATCTGATTCTTAATTCTTAACAGTAGCAAATGTACGCTTGGAATCCTTAGGGGTGGGGGGTAGCTCCTTTCATCTCCCTATTTCGATCCTTCTCGGTATACTTAGTCTGCCTTGACTAACTAAAGCCGAAGAAATAAGTTACAAACTAGTCACCGATAAAGCTTGTATAATCTTTTTATCCCCCGCTGCACTGAAACATTTTTTGGAAAAAAAAAAAAAAAAAAAAAAAAAAAAACCAACTAACAATCCAAGAAAAACAATAGATGAAGGTTTTTAGTTTAGTTTTTAGAATAAAAACCCGCCTTTCAATGTGCCGAGTGGAGTACGAGAAGCAAAACATAGTAAACTGAATCCTTGTAACTTGACATTTGGTCAACCATTGCATTTTTGAGTAGGAATCACGCCGTCCGTGGGAACATTATGTACGGATTACTAGCCAATACAAAAGCGTACAGTCCGTCTTCCAAAACACTGTGGCTGTTTTGACAATATTTTTCCAAATTTTTTGTCGTTAATGCTATTGTATCTACTATTTTCGCAAAATATTTTACATCTTTCAAGATTTTTTCGTCATCGCTCTGACGAAGGGCTAACGCTCGAAACTTCAGCCTTTAAACTCTTAACGGTGGCTAATTTACGTTTTCAACTCAGATGTTAACAGTAAATTACCTGTTAAACATTCATCAGTTTGTCATTTACCACTCCACCCACAGAAAGGAAAACACATTTGACTTTTGTGGTGTTGTACAACGAGCTCACTTTCGGTTTCGAACTTTAAAGTTTCTCAACACATTTTTGCCGTAATAGCTACAAATGGATTATTATTTTGTCCCTCTCATGGTTTTTGAGGCTGAACTTATCGAAATCCACCTGAGAAATATTTCTATTATTTTTCCTTTATGCCACATGCAAAAACAATCGCAAATTTTAAGCTTATTTGTTCCTGTCAATGTACACGACCATCTTCCGGTGAATCAGAGAGAATAACATGTACTTGTAGAACCCCAGCTAAAGATCACAGAATTCTGTGTCCATAAACGGAGTTAGGACTAAAAGTAAATTTGCTTGCGACATTGTTTATATGCAATATGTCTGGTGCATTTGGGCAGATTATGCGTGCGTAGTAATATTATTTAATCACGTTTGGAGGATACCGAACTCACAACCTTTCCGATGGTAATCTGAAAAAGACAGTGAATAAAAGGTAAGTTGTGGGGTGTAATATGCTTACCTCGCATCAGGTAAAACAACTTCTGTTTTCGAATAGAAAAGAGCCGCTGCATTGCAAGCACATAAGAAAGAAGCATGATCTTGAAGTCGATAATAATGTCGTAATTTGAAACGCTTTGGCAGCAGGTGTCCTTGTGACAGAGGGGGACTCAGCCTAGTTATTATGGCGGGAGTACGCCTGGCACAAATTGACATCGTCGCCTTCCTTCGCCATATTGCTGAATCAGCTATGTCGACTGCCTGTAAACGATGAACGCTGTGTCGTTTTTGAAGAGCAAGGCTTTTAAGGAAAGAGAAGAAAATGCAAGAGAAAAGCTACGTCAAGCCGTTAAGCGAGATCTGATCGCAGATCTATCCAGGTAAATGTCCAAGATCGAAGTTTACATTTGTAGAGCTGAATTAGAATAGTTGATTAGTTATAATGGTCTTAGCATAAAACAGTTTGTCGTTGTGAAGCGTCAAATCTATCTCATTTTTTGATCTCCCTAGGAGGAAATCTGTCCAAAATCCAGACATAATAAAAAAAAATTGCAAAATGGTTTGTCTGTACTTTCTTTTTTCCGAAGAGGATGGATCGACAATTATGAAATGCATCAGTCACTCGATCAAACACAGTTTTTTGCGTAACCCTTTAATCATTAATCCTGAGAGTGACTAGCATCTGATTTCTCTTTAAAGTATCAGTGCTGGATTAAGCAGTAAGGTCATGAGAATTAAGGGAATAATCGGCAACTCAAGAGACTCTTGATTAGTGAACAAATTATTCTTCCTATCGGTACCATAGGAAATGTACAGAGAACAGTATGGAGAATTTGCATGCGGATGTTAGGGTGTTAACGGTTAATGAAGTGAATCTGGGTGAGAATACATAGCAAACTGATTCAAAACAAGCTGGATATCATTCAGTTTCTTATTTTTTACATATAGTTTGTTTTCACTTTCAGGTTGTTTGGAGATGCATCCTTCAGTGATGTCACATTTATGATAAATAATGTTGAATTTCAAGCCCATACAGTTGTTCTCAGAGCAAGAGCTCCAAATTTCTGTCAACATTTTCTTCCAAGATATGCCTCCGCAGGTTCTGTCCAAACATGCATTCAAATAAATGGAATAGAGGCCATTGAGTTTGAGAAATTTCTAAGGTAGAGATGGTCTTTGCCTAAATTTTAGCCTATATTTTCAAGAACAAAAAATATTTACAGGTTTGGTAATGATCTATGCAAAAATTTCCAGAGTGTGTAAAGCATTGAACTTACTTCTTGTCATTTATAATGTAAGTAATATCAAGATTAAAACTTTTCAAGCTTCACTATTATTAGTTAAGTTATTTATATTAAACTAAGGTTGAAACTGTCACCACCATTTTATTATAACTGTATTTTTTTCTGTTTTTTCTCAAGGTCTGCTTATACAGAAGATGATTTTAAAGACTACGATGGATCAAGCTTCCCTTGGGAAAAAGAGACTATACCAAGCTTAGTAGATGGGATTGATCATGTTGTGGATGGTACATGTAAAGAAGACAGTTTCAATAAAAGATTTGAAAATGATATAGACCATCTTCAAAACAATATCCAGCCAGAGGTTTGGGCAGGGAAAGATGGTATTGAAGGATTACAAGCGAAGCCAGAGGAATTTGATGGTAATGATGCTACTCAGTCGTATTGCGACATGGATGGTAATGGGTCAGGAACTGTTGGTGATGGCATTGTAGAGGGAACTTCTAAAGGAGAAGAAACTAGTGGACCTAGAGATAATGATTGTCATTCTGACTCCAAACTACCACAAGCAAGTTGTATGGAGGATACATTGAGTTTTGAGGAAAGACTTGATTCTCGTCCAGAGTTCTGTGATCATTTTGCTGTTAGCCTTGGTAACATACAAGAGACTTACCTATCAGATGTAAACCAACAACAACATGATTTGGAGGAAAATCAACATAGTAGTGATTTAGTTGATGGCCCTGGTAATGTGATTGATGAGGAAAATGTTGAATCAGACTGCAATGCAGATGGAATTGGAAGTGATTCACATACAACACGCTCAAGCTGTCTCTTGAATAAACAGGTTGCTGAAATCAAGACAACAAATGAATTGACGAATGAATTAACTTCAACAGATGGTAGAACTTTGGAGAATAGTTTCAAAACAAAACTAGGTAATTTAGAAGTTAAATTTAAAATTATACATTTGAATCAACAATGATATTAAATTTAACTAGCATCTAATTTCTTCCAACACTATTATCCCTGAATCACACATTAAGGTCACAAGAATGAAGGAAATGATCACCAACTTCAGAAGCTATTTGTAAGATTAAAATCTGTAGTTGAAGATTGGCAAAGAAAGACAAAAAGCAACTGTTTAAAGTGACAGATGAAGACAAAAAGGCTGAGAGAAATCACTTTGATGTGGGAGGTGAAGAAGCCTGACAGTTAGAGCACTAGACTCTGGTTTGAGAGGTCAGAGTTCAAGACCTGCCCTGGGTCAGTGCATTGATTTTTGGACAAATACTTTGCACACACAGTACCTTTCTCCACCCTCGGGTATAAATGGGTTCTGGGTACATTAAAGAATGCTAGAAGTTAACAGACGATGAGTCAGCATTCTATGCTGTGGTAGTAGCAGTATTCCTAGTCAGTTGATGCTATGGAGTATAGGTTCCAGTCATTTGGGCTGCATGGTTGGAGTGTTTACTGAATCCATTCTGTACATTTTTTTCTGATAGATTTTAGTGTTATGTTTACAATTATTTTATACGTGATCCACAAGGTGAGGTCCCCATCTAGTATAATAAAATATATAAATGACTCAGCCATACTCAAGTTTCTAAATAATATATATTTTTGTATCAGATATTGGTCCACCAGGGGATGACTCATTAGGAGATGAATTAAAGGTAGATGAGAATTACACATTGTTATCATTTCTGAAGGACTTGCAATTTTTTTGTTCATTTATTTGTCAACCAATAAGTGCTGAAATGCAAAGTTTTGTTTTCTTCTGTTTTTTCCTTTATGTGATTTCAAGAGTTGCTGTTGTACTCTTGGTCAAGAATTACTTCAGTTGTTAATAAGTGAAGTTGGATCTGATGTTGTCTTTATTGTCAATGGAGACAAAATCAAAGCCCACAAGTGAGTGCTTAATATGGAGGTGTGGCAGTGTTATTTTCATTTTTGTTGTTAGTCAAAACATTTTCTATATTTTTTGCCAGAGCCATTTTGTGTGCACGCTCAAATTACTTTTCAGCCATGCTTTATGGTGACTGGATTGAAGGAAAAACTAAAGAGATTCCTCTTATTGGGTGAGTCACAACTTCTAATGAAATATGACATCTCCCTGCCCCCTTACCCCTCCCCCTCCCCCTGCCCAACATAAATTCTTCCTTCTGAATAAGACACCAGCTATTAATAGTGGCTCAGCAATTCATGGGCAGGACCCTATATTGAAAGGCTCTAAGTTCATAACCAAAACAGGGTCTGTTGAGTTCCTGGATGAAGCACTTTGAATAACTCAAGCAGCCATTATGAGAATAGTCACCCATGGATTTTAGACTGTCTAATAAGAGTTTTTGAGCTAATAGTGTGCATGCTTGGTGGTTGTTTAGAGCCAACTGATTAGTGTAACTTATTTTATTTTAGTGTGAATTATAACGGTTTCATGGCCGTCCTGAAGTATATTTATGGAGGAACAGCTCACGTGAAGGGTGATTTTGCACTCATATGGTGAATAAAATGTTTTTTAACTCTTTTAAAGGATTACAGTCTGCATTAGATGCCTGACGCCTTAAGAATATACGGTATCGCAAAGGTCATGGGTTCAAATCTCGTATGGGCCTGAATTTTTTTCAAGTCTCATTTTAACTATAAGTTCAGTAGTGTTCATAGCTGCAAGGATTGCTTATATCTCAATTGATATATTTATAGAATTTGCTAGTATTTTTAAGAAAAAGGAGGTAGGGAATCATAAATTGAAAAAATTGTGTAAGATTGAGTTACTACACTCTTTTATTTTGTGTGTTACATTTTTCTTGAGAATTATTGTCAAGGTATTTCTGATTTGGCAAACAAAATACGGTATGTTGTTTACCAGTGTGTTTGTCTGGCTGTTTTCTGTTTCGTTGGCAGTGATGCACTTCCTCTTGTAGACATGTATGGGCTGGAAGGACTCAGAGAAATCATTAATTGTTCATTGAAAATTGACAAGTGTCATATGTTTCATAAGGTGAGATAATCAGACAATAGTTCTTTTTATTTTGCGACATAGTCAGAAAAGAATGACGCCACTTTTGTTGTTTTTCCAGCCCTGTGCAGAATGTCTGACTGGTATTCCTGAGTGCTTGGAAGTATCAGAGTTGTTTAGTCTTACTGATCTCAAGAAATCTTGCATCAAGTAAGGGATATTTTAAAAGAAGTTGTCATGTTTTTTTAATGTGTGCATGCTCTTTGTTGATTATTTAAATGTCCTTTTTGCAGATGGATGGCAAAACACTTTGATCGCACTTTGGGTACCAAAGGATTCGCTTCCCTTCCTAAGCTGCTTCAGGAAGAAATTCTGGCTGAAATTCAGAGGAGCTTTGTAAGATATGCATTTTTCCACATGTTAGCAAGGATTAGAACATGATTATTCAATGTTGGGCTGATTTTCAAAATGGCTGGAATTTAATTTTTTACTGCTCTCTGTTATTTGCTTTGTCATACAAGTGGTACACATATTGAATCACAAAAAGAGTTGAATCACAGCATCACCAAAAACCTTTGGGTCACCATTCTCCAACACAAAATATTTGTTAGTATGCATTACCTATTTCATATTCTGAAAACCAAACTGAAAAACAGTAGAAGGAGTAACAGTTCTCTAATTAACAAATAGATTCCAAGTTGCCGTGTGTCGGAATCTATTTGTTTTATATAATAAAGAATTTAAAAAATTTTTAATGATGACATCATCTATACGTCTGTCCTCCAATAGGTCATAAGTGAGAGCCAATCAGAATGCGTGCATAACTGAGAGCCAATCAGAATGCATGCATAACTGAGCTTATTATATAATTGCCTACATTACATGCCAAAAGCGGGTGGCATATTTTTTCAGTACCTAATAATTTAATGGTAGAGTAACAAAACACATTGTCTTGATTGCAGGTCGTAGCATCAGCCATAGAAGTCTTGAATCACTGTGACAAACTTTCTTCATGTACACCACTGGTCAAGTGGACTGAGCCTGTTCACTTGGCTGTTTCTGCTGTCCAAGAATCTTGTCTGTTGTTTATTACTCAAAACTTTTTTCGTTTAATTGATCAAAGGAGCTTTCATGAAATCCTGAAGGTAAATTTAACCTGACAGCACTAGTAAGTGACAGGGTTAATCATTGACTCGCACATGGATTGATTAAGTGAATGGACACCATACCAACTGGCTGACTAACTGATTTAATGATTGATTGATTGATTGATTGTTTTGGGGGCTGGATGAAAGATGCCGTTAAAGGTTAGCTAACTGACTGACTGACTGACTCTCTCAACCTTTCAGGGGGTAGGTTGGTCAGTGCCTGTCTTAGAAAAAATTCTATCTGTGATTAAAAAGAACCTGACCATTGAAAATTGCTGCGACCTCCTAAGAGCCCTTCTCAAGCTACAAAGGATCCTTAAAGTGAAGGCACAGGAGAATGATGAGGAATGCTATCCAGAGGTTTGGACGTTCTCTTAGAGTTCCAGTTCAAACTGAAGTAAATCCTTCAGGGAAACTCTGATATTTCCTTAATTGTGATAAATCTATGGGCTGTTTACTATTAGACGACCCAGCTCAAAAATTATATCTTTCGTAGTCTACAAATTTTTCTAAAATAATCCGTCTTCGAATCCTAAATTGTTCATAGTTTTCTCAATTTAAATTCGCCATGGGAATAACTCTTGAACGCGATCTATCTGAACTTGAAATTATTTTCATAAGTCTCGTGACTGAGCAATTTTGGAAAAAAAATTTACACCGTATGGAAGAAGTTGTACCTGGTTTACAGTCGATAATGAAGTAATTAGCTATTTATTACTATATTGGTGTCTTCTACACTTTCTTCCCACTTTTTTTCCCCTAAAATTGTTTTTATTCGCCGTTTTCATCTTCAACATCGTGTTTAATTTTTTCCCAGGAAGTAACTGATCTTGTGGTCAATTTACACAAAGACTGTGTCAAGGTTATCAGATGCAACCTTTTTAAAGTAACCCGATCGGAAGGATGGAAAAAATTAAAGCTTTCTACTCAACGCGAGGTAAAGGAAGGTAAGAACTGATTAGAAACACCTGTCTGGTCAGTGTGCTTTGCCTATCTTGTTTTATGGCGACAGAGGGCCTAATTTCCAGGTTATTGTTCAATGAAGTATCCCTTCTGAAGTGCGAACTTTTTAACAGAGCAGGCTTCAAGCTCCCGGGATGCCCTTTTTTTGATCAATTCTAAGACGAGGCGAAAAGCTTAATTTTACTTTTGTCCTACAGGTGCGTTGTTTAGTGGTCTGTCTGATTCAGGTAAAAATTCCAGCGGAAAGAGGAGAAGTGTGCCAAGTTCTCTTCAAGTAAGTTCAATTTTTAAAATTCCAACAAAGCTACAAGTGTCATTGTCAAAAAACGACCCAAGTCTCTGCTTATCCTGCCTCGTAAACTGGATGACATGCATAGGGCTCAGACCAGGTGAAATGATGATGCAGGCTTTAAAGGCAAGGAGCTGGAGATATGTTCAGAAATGAAAGTGTGATGAGTTGATATAATTCATACGCGAATTGCATGACGTAGTTTTCCGCAAGTAAGCCTGTCACATTTTATCGGTTGTGCCATAAACCCACGGGCTCTCTGATTGTCACCAACAATCTATATTGAGTTCTGAGACTGTTTGAAAAAAATTGTGGAAACTTGAATCAACCCTCATTGTTTTGTTCCTATTTTCCTGTCTCTTTTATTAGGCGTCTGCCAGGCCATCAACTATGAGATCTTTTCAACGAGCTGAAACTGAATCTCGTACGACAGGACGAGGTAGAGGGAACTCTGCTTCTGACAGGAGCTCTCAGCAAAGTAGGCCCATGTCGGGTAGGAGCTCCCGAAATAGTATCGGACTTGCACCTACGAACATGCGGCCTTCCTCAGGACGGCCCTCGACTGATGGGAGAGGTGTCAGGTCAGTCCGTGGAAAAATATCTTCAGCGACAAGCAGTGATTCTGGAAAAAGACCCTCCTCATCTCAGGCTTCAATGCCGTCGAGAAGCTCGAGAGCGTCTTCTTCGTTGTCAAGGAGTTCTGATAGAAACTCTCTACCTAATTCGCGATCTTATCAAAATTCCTCAGCATCAGGGCATAGGGAAACATCAAAAACCTCTTCTCAAAGCTCTCATCAACACACTGTAACATCTAGTAATGGCACAAGGTCTTTATGGACTCAAAGTAGCTCTAATGCGAGGCCCTCGTCGGCTCCAAGTTCATCTGGCGCCATAAGAAAGGTCCCGTTAGTTTCCAGGCCGCCAGTACCAAAAGGTACCAACCGAGATATTAACAATACCTCGTCAAAGCGAATCGTTAGAGACAAGCTCTTTTCTGTACAGGGTTGTGGCGCACAAGCTAAAAAGGGGCCGTCGGTCTCAAATTCACGCGTTTGTCGTCAGCAAGTTTCAGAAAACGTCAAGGCAACTACTAATTCGTTTAAGGCGAATAAACCGTCTAAGGTCAAAGGAACAAGTTCACAAGAGAATCTTAAACAGGACTTGAAAAATGGATCAGAAGCTAGTAATGAACCGGGACTGAGAGAACATGTCCATTCAAAAGATGATGACGTTGGTAGAACGAGAAAAATGGAGGAAGTCTCAGACAACATAAAAAAAAATGATATTTCACTCGAGGAGTTAAAAGATGGTGTCCAGTCAATCAGCTCCGAGGAGCAGAAGCAGTCTAATACGTCGTCGACTCTAACGAGAGGGGAGGAAGGTTCATTACCCTTAAATGAAACAGCTGACGAGAATGTTTCCCGGTCACTCGATGATGACTCTGTGGAGAACGCTGAGGTCAATGATTCGCTTGAACTTGACTAAGTTTGTACTTAATTAATTGTAAATTTTGGTCAGTCTCCTAGTGTGTCATCCCTCAAAGGAAGCTAAATCGTGCAGGGAAAAGCAACATTAGCAGAAACAGATGTGCCTTAGATGCAGCGGTGGTGAAGGGAGGGGGTGGCACCAGTCTAGCTCTGTGAATGAGGCAAGCTGTAAATTAACCGAAAGTCGCCTCTTATACCCTTCAGGCATGGCATGGGGAAGATGGGTAAATAACCATCTAGTGTGAAAACATAAAAGAATTTATAATAATTAAATAGAAAAGCCAGGAAATTTATTGGTTATAACCAGATTTCTGTGCGCCATTTTGTTTGTCACTATCACAACAAACACGGATTTTTTTTATTGCAAAGTTACCAAGGCCATGCGGTCTTCGCAGCAAAAACAGTCAAATTGTTCATGGTCAACTTATCGAGAACGAAATGTTAATTTCATTTTGTTTACAAAAAGGGTAAGATAGTCTTTCAGTCTACGAACGAACCCGCGTAAAAAATTATGCCACACTGCAAAAAAACACTTCAATACAAGATTACTTTTAAGGCAAGATGTAGCAAAAATCCCGCTAGCATATAATACACATATGGCCGCGGCTGCCTCTGTTCTTGGGTTGCTTTTGTTCGCTCGTAGACTGGAAGGATAAAAAACAGCATCGCACACCAGTTGTTGGTCGGGGGAGGGAGGGCATGCGCTGCCACACCTGGGTAGCTATGTCGAAGCATTCTACCGAGTTCAAACTAATCCCGTCCCATCCCCCGACGAGATAAATTTTGTTGTTAAATACGCATGCTCCGGCGTTGGACCTGGGTGTGCACATGGGAGTCACTTGAGTCCACTCATGCGTCGTAAAACTGTAGCATTCCACCGATCTGAGAGTGTCGTTACCATCGTAACCGCCTAACACGTACATTTCGTCGTCCACGACAAGCGCGCTTGGAAAAGAACGTCTGTCGTGCATCGGTTGAACTTCTGTGGAGTTCCAAGAATCCCTATCGAGATTGAAGAAAGAGTTATGCTGTGGCATATTTGATGTCGCTGTTGTTGGGCCAATCAAACGCCAGTCTACGTGTCTCGAATACTGTGGAACTCGGAACGCATTGAATATAAGAAATCTGTGTCATCTTGTCTAGGATAACAAACCAATCATGTACCAGAAACGTAAACTTATTAGTTTGTAGTTTGATGGGTTACTCACTTCTCTTGATCTTCACTGCGATTGTCCATAACACAATGAAGATTTCGGACACATTTCAGATGTTTATGGTTTTGTGATTTTAGATCCCCTTGGCCAAAGCCAAATCAATGTCTAATTTATACTCAACTCAATGGGTTTAGTTTTAATGTAACTAGTTCCTCAAATAAAGGCGACAGTTCCTCTAGCAAATCGGGAGCCGATCAACCAGAGTGGATCTTTGACGCAAAACGATAGGGTTATCCTAGCTCTCTTCTTTTGATTAGATGTTGGAACTCGAAACGTTCCCCGGAAGCATTTTTATTTATAAATCTACTCGTGATAGGGTTAAATCTATGGCCTATCAGTATAGGAGATAGAGGCTCCCATTGATGGCTTCTGAGGAAACTAAGATCTTTCTTTATGTTACGCTTTCAAGCAAGGCAACAAAACTTTGCCAATAAGTAATAAGTATTACTGACTAAAATTACGGGGAACTAACTTGATTATTAGCTCATCAAAAGCCAAAACTAAACTAATGGGGCGACTTTTAATTGTTTTTGGTTTCCTGACTTGTGCGGCGGTTGCGTGTAAAGGTTTCATGTTTCCCGCTCTAAGCCGTGATGTATCAGTTACGTTTCTCTTTTCACATGGAAATGATTTTTGTTTTAGCCACGAGAAATATTTTTACCGAATGCCTATTCGTAGTGAAGTCATCAAAACCAAAACCTACCTTGTAGTGTCATAGCACTCGACTGTGTTTAAAATACTGGAACCATCATGGCCGCCAATGACGTAAATAGACTTCCCGTGAGCTACCGCGGCGACACATCTTCTTCTTGTCGGCATGGGAGACTTGGTGCGCCATCTTTAACAAATACAAGATGCTAAATTAATGAATTAAGTGGATCGTAGAATGTATTGTCCTTGAGAGGCTTCGGCCCTTATGCCCCTATCCCGATGAGGCGACATAATAGTGATTCGAGACGAAAAGTATAGAAGCTACTTTAAGTTGGAAAACATATCCTTAATTCCAGAAGTCGTCTTGACTTGGCAACTTAAAAAGAGTGCTTCAGGCTCTATGTCTGCGAGCCGGTAAAGCTTGTGTGAGGAGCTCTGACTCTGCGAAGGTGATGAAGTTTTCATAATAAGTCTTAAAGGCTTTTGGTCTGTACGTCCTTTAGGACCAGTGACCGAATCAATGAAATCCCAAACGCTTACCTATGAACGCTTAACTATGAACGCTTAACTGAATATTGTTCCTCTTTCTACTGTGTTGTCTCACATAATACCCACACATTATTACCTTCCTGCTTGAAGACTGAAACATTCTATGGAGTTGAGCGTGTTTTGACCGTCATAGCCGCCAACAATGTATACATGACCATCTACCTCCACGGAGCCGTGTTTACTTCTCCTTGTCAACATGTTGGGCATGCTATGCCACTCCTTCTGTCGTACATCATATCTCTGGGCTAAGAATAAAAAATCGTTGCGAAGACAATTAATAATGCTCATAGGACCGAGTGAAGTCCAATTCGGTCTGTAATCATTCAAGTGATAGAGAAAATCGGACGACCCCAGTTGGCAATCACGAGTATGATTTACCAATTAATCACAAGCATTACAATTTCCGAAAACAACAAATACATTTATCCTTAGTAGAGACAATGTCTAAAGTAAAAAATTCCTCAATTTTGGAAATTCCACAGTTTTTTTCAGGATAAATGGTCGTTGTTATGGTTATAGTGATCAAATCTGTGATTGGTGGATTTGGCTGAAAGGAATAAGTATAACTGGCTGCTTCAATTGTCCGATTACAGGTGTCCAATTACAGAGAACTGTCCGACTACAAATGTACAGAACGAGTGGTGGAGAATAACGCAGCTAATGCACCAATCACAGTAGTGGAAACTGTATTGGGTATGATTAATTTTTATAAATATGAGTGGAAAAAAGTTGTTTTCTTTGCTAGAGAAACAATAAAAGAAAGTCCTGGGGACAATTCCCTCTGATTCCTTTTTTGAATAAAAGTAACCACTTGAGAGAACATTGCATCACTTTTTTAACGTATAGGTCTGAAAGAAAGCCAAATTCTCAAGAGTGAATGCACACAACTCTTTGAATTATTTCGCAAGGAATAGAACTTACACAGGGGACCTGTTCTATCAAAAAAATTGTCAAACGCGCTGGTTCGTTACCTATGTCGAGTGTCTCAGAGTTGACGTTACAATAACCTCCAGTCACGTAGAGCTGTCCTCCAAAACTTGCAATGCCATGATACCCGCGATCCTTTGTGAACCGTGGCAGGTCGGACCATACCTGGGTTACAATGTTGAAGCCGAAAACTAAAACAGAGAAGAGTTGAAAACATTTCAATGCATTCTCCATATGTGTGCAATTTGAAAAAAAGATAAAATCCGTTTAATTCCTTTTAATTAATGTAACTCGGCTCAAAAACTCAACTCAATTACGAAAACAAGTTTTTACGAGAGCGTCCACGTTAACCCCAATGCTGACTTCAAGGTCTTGAAATACGATAGACCAATCGACCAGATCTGACGCGCGTTGCGTGTGAATATACAAAGAACAAAATTTTCCAAAGGGGGAGGGAAAGAGAAAATTGAAATTCGAAACACAGTCATTTTTACCACTGCCTTAATTGTGCCCACAGGCGAGAATTGAACCTACCCGTGCTTTGATTATGATAGTCTCCATTGCCACCCATAGCAATGAGAATCTCGTGAAAACGTTCGTAATTGCGCGGTCTCGTTCTAGTGGTGTCGAGATGCTGGCGACGGTCTGGTAACAAGTGATAATGCTGTGCTTCAAGCAATAGTTCCTTACATCTTGGAGAAGTGTTAAAGAGTTCTTCGTGCTCAACCACGTCAACTAAATAGTACGGGGAAACAAGAGGCAGGCGAATATCTTCCATTAATGAGGGAAAAAACGGCCGTCTATTTTCCAAATCGTAGTTTATCCAACCAACAAGAGCTTCGTAAACTTTTTCCTCGTTTTCCACTGAGATCTCGTCACTTTGTAATAAAGTCTGGATTTGTTTCTCGTCCAAATTCATAAACTCTTCACTCTCGGCCACGTGAAGGAAATTCTGATAGATGAAAGTGTTCGTAGTTGTCCATAGTTTTGGACACGCGTAGGTTTCTGCTAAAGTTTGAATACCAAGGCAGTTTTTCACGTTGAGTCGACTTTCAAGGAAACGCCCACAAGCATCTTTTACAGACTGCACTAGCATCAGATTGGCGCCCTGTAGGATCGGTTCTACATTGCTCCAGTCTAACACAATCTCGCCAGTATAAATAAATCCCAGTATCATTTTCATGCTGTCTTTATCAACCCCGGTGATGGTAACCTCCCTCTGCTTACTCTCTTTCATATTTCCATTGAACATAGCGAAGAAGTAGTCTGAGCTTGCCGACAGAATATTTTTGTGGGCTTGAAATTCTTCACCTTCCATTGTGATTCTAACATCGCACATAATCCCCTGTTTTTGCAATCCACTCAATCGCTTCAGGACATCTTTCGAGTATTTTTCGTCCGAAAAGACGAAACTATCCTCCATCGCCTGCCTTTTGAAACTCGGTTCCTGAGGCAAACGTCTTTTCTGCCGCATACAACTATTTTCTGCGTGGAGGTTACATTGTCAAGACAGCACTTATCTGAAACTGGGTTTGGCGCTTTCTCAGAAGTTCGTGCTTTCTATTATGACGTAAAATTCGTAATCAACCGTTAAGAATTATTTCTTCATCAATTAACCTATTATGTTTTTCAAATTAAGTGTTTCTCAGACCTCAGACGCCATGATAAGTATTATTTGATAGGTGATATGAACGCTCTCGTTTGGAGCTTTCATCTGTCCCTCGCGTCGTTCTCTCTGCCAACGGAAAAAAGAGCTTGCTTGCGTTATACCACGCGCGCTCGTGCGAGAGATAGTGTAACATAGACCATAATTTTTCTCTTGGCCTTATTACTTAATCAGTGGAAACCAATCATCGATGCCAATAGCGATTACTGATCGGTGAATAAATATTCACCCGTAGCATTTGTTTTTTTCTGTATCGAAACATAGGAAATCGACCATAGAGTATTAGAAATGCTTCAGTCACCGGCGTTTGTCGTATCTAGTCCACTCATTTCATTGTGGAGAGAAATGTGACAAACATTTGAGTGATACGGATGAGTTGGTTGCTTTAAGTCTCTCCACCAGCTTACAACCTCAAGGAAAGCATCTCTTTGTAGCCATCTATTTTATATCGGTCATTTTTTCATTTTCGTTTGCGTTTAAAATGAATTTGCGTTCAGGCATTTCCTCATGGATGGGGGCCCCTTAACGGATTTCTACCGAGTTCAGTGTCCACTGTCCTGTTTTGCGCTACCAGCTCCTCCCATCAAATCGACGACTTGCGACGAAAGCCTATACGTAACCGAGAACAATCGATATCAGCACGATCAGTCGATAACGAAACTCTGTATCTATTGTTAATCAATGGCGAATCGCAGGAAAATGTTTCATCTTTCATCGCCGTTGATCCATTATCATTATCGACTGTTATGGATTTTCATCATGTTGTAGACTGGTCAAGCATGGATTTGGTGGAAGGATCGTGTCTAGTGAAACTAGCGATGCATATCCAAAAAAATTGAAGTGTTTTAACCTGGTATTCCATTTCTTCGCTTAGTTAGCCGAAGTCTCTGGGAACATGAAATATGGAGATGTTTGAACTCAGATCATCGCCCAACCTTGCTGAATTTTCTGACTGATTGATCCCTTCTTCCCAGTCTCCCTCAACAAAACTGGTGTAAATCGCTAAATCGGACCCAGGAAGTGAAGTCCAGACAAGGGAAAAAATTCGCCAAAATGATGAATTAGTTTGAATTGTTTTTTAATCGTAGTCAAAATTATGTAATTTCCCTCTCCTTTAGAGAAAGATGTTTTTTTTCGTATTGTGACGAACGTGGGCTTAAGAAAAAAAATATCCACACTCTTTTGTTGGGACACTTTCAGATTAAACTTAGCCTGTAGAGTTTCCATTCAGAATTTTGCGGGAAAGCGGAAGACTTGACCTGCATTCGGGAGACTTCGTAAAAACGGAGACTTCTTAAAATTCCATTTTTATGCTAAAGATGACTGGAAACGAGTTTAGCCTTTGCTCATGCGCAGATGGCTGACGCAACTTGCATGTGGAGAGATGTATAAAATTCTCTACATCAACGAGGAATTTTCAGTTTGATTTTTTACAAAAAGGTCTATCTTTTAGTGAATTGATACGTCAAAATGGCCGAGGATGAAGCGGTAAGTATGCTTCGCTTATCGGTGGAGCTGTTATGGAAAGAAGTGGACTTCAAACTGATTCGATGTCTATTAAATTTCTCTGAAAATCGTAGATGTTCGACCCAACTATGAAGAAGAAGAAGAAAAAGAAGAAGGTACCTCTTGATCTTGATGCACTTGAGGAGCCTAGTGCTCCCTCAAATATAGACGAGAATACTCATGAAATGGAAAATCAGGAAAATACTGTGGAGGAGAAAGAAGAGAAAGAAGACAAAGGTAAAATTGATGATACATGATATTTGATTCAAAAGGCATGCATGATTATGAAGTTAAGACACAACTGAATGTCGTGATCTCTTTCGATGTTTATGTAGAATGTGTAGATTTAGCACAGACTGATCTCTATCACGGACTTTTGTCTCCGTTCTTAAGTTTTAAGCATCCACAAATCCGAGAAACTGCGGACAATTTTCATATACACAGGTCTGGTTTAGTCTCGCGAGATTCTTGATTTGAGCTCAACCTGACGTTTGTCTTACAAGGACGTTTGAATCATTTAACCCAGTTTTCAGATCAAGATTGCAATCACCAGAATGCCTAATGCGTTATGATGAAAATTATGATCGGGAAAGACTATTTATTGCGTGAGATAGCACCAGTTGATCATTCATAAAAATTACAGTACATCCAAGAGATTGCTTGAGTCGGTGCAAAAGGAGCAGCATTTGTTTATTCCTGAGAATTTTGTATCAGCAATTATTATGTCATTGATTTGTAATATGGCTGATGGTGTGAACATAATTTTTTTAAATAAAAGTGCTGCGATATCCCCAGTTTGAGAAGGAAACGACTGATCTCTAGTCTTATTTATTTCAGTTTTCAATTATTTATTTTCAGTTTATAAGCATAAAATTAATAGCTGTAAGAAGATATGAATTAGGAAACACAGATTGCCCTTTAGTTTTATTGTTTTTCCTGTAGATGGTTCAGTAATTAATGGCACATATCTTTGTTAACTTGAATTTCCAAGGAAGAAGCCCAAATCCCCCCAAAAAAGGAAATGGTTCAGTTATTAATGGTACTTAACTTATCAACTTGAATTTCCCTGAAGGTAGTCTGAATCAAAACAAAGATACAAGATTATGCATTTACTTCCTGCATACTGCTCGGATAGGAGTGTCAATATGTGATGCTTTCGCACAAATACGAGGTTAATGAAGATGGTAAATTCTTCATCACAGATCTCATTAAACTGCCTAGCCAACCAAGAGTTTTTTACAGCTGAGTGGTAGAAAGTAGTAGTTTGAGGCTGTTAGGAGTTCTTAGAGTTCTTTTTTTGAGTATACCTGTGTCATTCAATGAATAATGTCATCTTTCTATTCATAAATTGTCTGTCAAATGAGGCTATTGCTCAACACCAGTTTCAAAAAAGAAGCCTCAATCAATGGTAGAGTTTGTACTTGCTTCCATTTATTTACCTTTTACATTACTTGTGCAAAAGTTTATCTTTAGACATATTAGCTCTTAGGGAGGGAGATCCTGCAGTTAGATGCCAGCTGATTGTAAATTGTTTGAGGAGAAATTGATTTTGAATAGATTTGAAGAGAAGGAACTTTATGTACAATATACTCAATGACTAATTGATTTCAATCATGTGTTAATGATAATTAATCCAAAATTGCTCGTAATTTAGCTAAAACAATTCATTATAAATATCTGAACGAACAAACAAGTTGTAAACACACAATTTCAGGGCAAAGATTCCTGTGTATCTAGTTTTGATAAATTACAACTTTCGACAATCACAGTCATTTATTAGCAGGACTCTTTTCTTTCCACTGCCCTGAATATCTCTCATTTAACAATCTCTTACAAAGCTAATTATCATGTATGTGATCTTGCAGATATTTTGGATCTGGATGACTTTTCTGGAATGAAGAAAAAGAAAAAGAAGAAAAAGAAGCCCTATGATATGGAGGGTCTAGAGGATGCTCTTCCGGTATGTGATTGTGTGACAGACTTAGCTGATGTAATAATTTCTTTACAGACTTGGCTGATGCAATAATCAATGGGTTGCCAGTAATTGGATCCTTGTGTTTGCGCAAAAATTTCTGGAATTGCCACCGGGCTAATATTGCAAGTTATTAGAATGAAAAATTTGACATTAAGTTTTTTTAAAGTCTATAAAAAAAAAAAAAAAAAGATTTTGGAGGGAGAGATCAATGCTTTTTTGCCACTGTTTAACAGAAATGGAGGTGGGTAATGTTGATACAAGGAAATGTACCAATTTCACAATAAACATCACGCATGGAGAAAAGTTACTTTGATAGATTTTAATAAATATTTCGTAGTTTCCAAACAAATACTTACACTTCCTTTGTATCAACATTACCCAAATTCATTTCTGTTAAAACAGGAGCAAAAAGAGGATGATCTCTCTCCAAAATCCTTTTTTTCCGGACAACAAAACAACCTTTTGCCGTGCATTTCTTTCTAGTGACTTGCCCTGTGACAGTCCCAGAAATCTTGGTGTAAACAGAAGGATCTGATTACTGACAACTCATTCATTGATCCATGCTTAAAATTTGCCCTTAAATCTTGAATTAGTTTTGTGCTCATGCTTGCTCAATTTTATTGCAGATGCACTTTTTTCAGTTGCTGAACATTTTAAATTTTTATTTCCAGGATTCAGCCAGTGAAAACAAAACAGAAGAAACTGGAGGAAATGATGGGGAAAAGGAAAACAATGCTGAAACTAAAGACGACCTTGATTTCAGTTTTTCCACAAAAAAGAAGAAGAAAAAGAAGAAGCCGGTTTGTAATTTATTATCTTTCATTTAGTTCTGTCATAGTTTTCATTATTGTTTTAATAGAAATCTGATCATCCATGAGCAGTAAATATCCTAGCTAAGACATTGTCAGTTCCTTTCTTTTTCAAAATTCAAAGCCGTTCAATTTTGCCCAAAAAGCAAGCACAACCTCAGAATTTTTTTTTATTGTTGAGCCCTTTGTGTTTTTGCTGACATTTCTGTTGACACAAATATGTTAAACTGCATTTTATGAGGATACAGGTTTTTGAAATTAGCCAGTCCTTCAAGAAGATTGTTGAATTCCTTACAAATGTAAATTTCCCTCATTTTGTTATTTGTTATTGTTGTTTTGTGAGGAGAAAAAAATTGGGAATGCTCTTTTTTTTTTAACTTGGATATGTTATATTTTTCAATAGGTTCTGGATGAGACAGACATGAACGAAGTTGAGTCCAAAGGGATAGAAAATGGAGCAGATTCTG